CCTGAATGGGGGCTCTGGAATGGGGGCTCCGGGGCGGGGTCTCTGGGATGGGGGTCCACGCTGGGGGCTCCGGCCTGGGGGTTCTGTGCTGGGGGACCGTGGTGGGGGCTCCACGTTGGGGGGTCCGGGATGGGGCCTCAAGGATGGAGAGTTCAGGGTGAGGGTTCTGTATTGGGGGCTGCAAAATGGGGGGATCTGAGGGGGGCGCTTCGGGTTTGGGGTCCGTGCTGAGCGTTTGCAACGAGGGCTCCGGGATGGGGGTTCTGTGCTGAGGGCTCCGGGATGGGGGTTCTGTGCTGGGGGCTCCGGGATGGGGGCTCCTCGAGGGGGGATCTGCGGCTGGGGCTCCGCAGCGGAGGCTCCGAGGTTGGGATCTGTGCCGGCGGCTCTGCACTTGGGCTCCGGGCCCGCCCGGGGGGCTCCGGGGCTGCAGGGGCTCGGGGGCCGGTGCGGACCCAGCCGTGGGGGCAGCGGGCGCACCCCCGCACTGTTCATGGGGTGGGATGAGCCCCTGTGCTCCCCCGGCTCCGGGCACAGGGAGCAGCGCTGCGAGCCCTGGGGTGCCGGCCTCCCTCCTGCTCCCGGCAGTGCTCTTGGGATGGTCCCGCAGGGCTGGGGAGCCCTGTCCTGCTGCCTTCCCCCCTTCCCACAGTGGTGCTGTGACCTGCAGGCTCAGCTTGGAGACTCGGCTCCCGGCACAGCCTCCCCTCCCCGCACACAGCCTGTTCTCACCATCCAGGGGAGGTCGGTTTTCCCCATCCCCACACGGGTGACACACATCAGGTCACCCAGTGCTGACACGGGAGGGAGGCACAGCCAGGGACAGGTGCCACCAAGATGCCCATGGTCACCTCCACCTCCCGGGGCTCAAGGGAGTCATTCCCAGAGGAATCCACGTCTGCAGGGACAGAGGGGCTGATCCAGAGTGTGCTGGGCAGGACACAGCCAGTTCTGGAGAGGTTTGAGCTGGTCACAATCAGGTTCTGGGGCTTCCAGGGAGGAAGAGTTCCCACATCCCAGCTCAGCAAATTCATTGCTTGGGCAGCGTAACCTGGTTTTGCCTCACCCCCCTCAGCTCCTCAGGAATATCTGAAACCATCTGCTTCAGTAATGGTTTGATTGGCCTTGGGAATCTAACAGGGACCTGTGAGGAGTGACACAACCAAAGAAATGGGACTCCATACTCATCCCAAATGTGTGGACATATATTGGCAAAAGGGGGTTATTTATTTATTTATTTTTGTTTATTTACATTTCTACCAAAACAAAAGCAAGTACAATTCAGAGGGTGAAAAGGGTTTTTATTATCAACATTTTAATCACTTTAATACATTCTGCACAGTTGAAGTCTATCAGCAACAGAGGAATTTCAGGATTTAAAACAGTGTGTGGAGTCCCTACACGATGGAAACGCTGATAAATTTGTAACACGAGAGATGTCATTTCTGAAAGACTGATTTTACAATTAAACTGGACCTTGCTTTGCTTAGGCAGAGATGATCAGTTTGATGGCAAAGGTGAACAGCAAAATCCTGTGGTACCTAATCCAGGAAATGCAGGTGGCCTCATGAAGCTGGTTTTCTGCTGCTGTGGGAGCTCTTGGGAGAGGATTTCACATGAGGAAAGAAAAGGAAGGAAGTGTTGGAACAAAAGGCTGAAATAGAGACCCTGGAAGCTGGTTCTCATCCTTCCACCAGCAGAACAAAGTGAATGTTTAGGGCTTTGGCTGAGTGGGGATCACTGTCAACTTCTACCTGGCAAAAGGAAGGAAAAACTGAGGGATGAGAGGCTTAAAACGTTCATTATGCTGGAGAAGCAGGGAAAAAACCCCTTTGGACCTACAGTATAAGAAAAGTCATTACTAGAGCAGGGCAGAACTGCAGGCAGGGGTGAAATGGAAGAGAACCTGTATTAGGAGATAACTTTCTTCAGGAGTCAAAACATTAGGCTCCAGTGAGCCTCCAAATATGCACATTAATGACTCAAAGTTCCTGCTGAGTGGGCTACAGGAGATCCAACGGGCTGCAGCACCCCTAAGATATCCAGGACAGACAGGGAGGGCCCTGATGGAAAAGAGAAGTGCCTGTGACAAGTGACCCATCTCATAGTCACAGCACTCAGCTGCTCAGGGGAGAACTTGGCTCCTTATAAGGGTCTCTATCAACATCTGGAGGCGTTAATGCAATTAATTATCTTTATTTTGCAGTTCACCTTTGTGCTGGAGCTTTTCCCTACAAGAGCACACGTGTAAAGCAAGGGACAGCCCAGGGTGGGTTGAGGGCTAACGGGAATAGTCCTGTGGCTGCGTGCTGGGGTTTCTCTTGCTGCCCAGCTCTTTGGTTTGGAGCAGCTCAAAAAGGCCTTGTGGGTTCCAGTTACCCTTTGGGGTCTTCAAATCCAGCTGCTTTAACGGGAGGAATCTCTGTGCTTCCGTCAGCTGCTTTATCAGGCTGGAAGTCTTGTCTCCATCGATGCTGTTGTGGAGATCTGAGGGATCTGGGCTCTTCTGCACATCCCACGTGGCATTTGGAGGTGGGATGTCCCTGCTGCTGGCTGTGTGCACGGTGCCCAGGGCGTTGTGGAGCCACAGCAGGCGCTTCAGCCCTTGGAACTCCCTCCCTTTGTCGTGCATGAGCTGGTGCTCCGTCACTGCTCTTCTGCTGCAGGGAAAAAAAAGAGGGAATGAGGGACCAGAGATGCTGGTTGGCATCCAGCAATCCCATTTTGGTGGTGCCACAGCCCACCATTCCCACTCAGGCTGGTCCAGCAGCCCATTCCTGAAGACAGGAAGCTGGAACCCTGTGCCATTCCCAAAGGTACCTCGAATCTCCTTTTTTTTTTTTTTTTTACAAAAGCCAAACTGGGAAGACCAACAAAATGACCTGAGCAGGTTTAAAGAGCTCTCACAGAGATTTGGGCTTTCCCAGATTTAGATTCTTTTCAGAATAAAGTTCCCTTTCCTTCACCTCAGTGTTACAGGATTTTGGGGTTTGTTTCTCTCCTCCCAGAGCTGGAATCACTGGAATTTAGATGGAGTCACTGATGTCCATGAAATAAAAACAAAACCTTATTTTCTTCAGATACTTCAGATTCTTCAAAAATATTGAGCTGAGTGTTGAGTGAGGAGGGCAGGCTAATTCTGGGATGCAAATATTTCAGGATTTCAGGCTGTTCAGATAACATCTAACTGCAGCTATAGGCTCCTGCTGCAGATCTGAATCCAAATGGGAACCTAAATATGGAATTTCAGCATGTGCCATCTCCATGGCCTGTGTTGAACATCCTTACATGGTTTGTACACTGTGTTTAAAAGCATCAACTGATGTGGTGCATGTTACACATCTAAAAATGCAATTGGACTAATTTTATACTGCAGAGAGTGTGATGTAAAATGTTGCTGTATGAAATATATTGAATTTTCTTTCCCCCGTGCCTGGAGTTACTGACAGCAGCGCAGAACACAGCCTGTTAAATCAAAACCAAGCAGTTTTCTAATTATAACAATGAAGTAAAAGGATGATATTACTTACTTTTCAATCTCTTGACACGTTGCAAAACAGGCAAAAAAAAGAATTGCCAAAAATGTAACTGTCTGCAGAGACCTCTGGGGCAGGAACATTTTCTCTCTTCTCAAATCCACTCCACAGGACCAGCAGCTGATGGTGGGATCAGAAATCTTTCCCTCTGTTCTTCCTTTCACCTGACAAAATGAATTTCAGCCTTTAAGCACAGGTAAAAGTGGAGCATTGTGCTATAGGAAATCATCCCAGGACCTCCCAGAACATCAGTCATGTGGATCTGAACATACACCAGAAAAGATGAATAGGATTCACAGTATAGTTCTGTATTTCCTTGCTCAGAGTCCTAAATCTCCTTTCCCAGAGTTGCCTCTCAATATAACACCTCCCACTCTTCTGCATTTGCAAGCACGTTTCAGGACTGGGAAGAGACCTCCCTGATAAAACTTCACAGAAATTTGTCAAGAAGATCAGGATTGCTGAAAATCACAGAACAAAGTATATAAAAGTGGAGCAGGAATATCAAGTTAAAAGGTGTTCATAGCCCTGGGGGTTGGGCCTTTTCCATGAGCAGTACAAGTGCTGACATGCAAATATCCAGGATTTTATTAGACTGATGCCAGATTTCTTTTCAGTGAAGGAGTGGATTTCTGGCTTAGGGAAGGGACAACTAGAAGGTGCAATTGTGCAATGATTATTTTAATCTAAATTATAACTTCATTCAGTTCTATATCTGCTTCTGGCATTGATACACCTCTTTCTACCCATTCCTTCAACCCACCATGTCTTTATTGCCAGGTCTATCCCTAAAATCTCTGCATTTTTCACACTAATGACTGTACCCTGCTTTAGGATTGGCTCCAGTCTGTCCCTTCAGTCATTTACCTGAAAATCCTGTATTAATCGTTGCATCAAAGGCAACAAAACAAAAGCTGCAGCATTTAAATTGTTATGTAAGAATAGTAAAGATGTGTTCCCATATAACTCTTTGAAGAAATACTTCTTTTTGTGCAGGGGAAGTTTGGGATAATAAAAAACTCAGCATCTCCTCAAATGACTTGTCTTTATACTAACTTGAATATTGAATTGTCAAGGGTTGAATAGAAAGGCAAATTATACATTAATATAATACAAATAAATTATATATTTGCTTGTAACAATTAAGCTTGTTCTTAATAAGTCTGCTCCACTAATTTGTGAGTGATTTCCTTGGGCAGCACGTTGAAATCAAACTAGATACGAAATAACAAATAAGATATTAGTCCTGAATAAAAAATCTGTATTAAAAGCAGATACATGCACATAAATATACATATAGATGTGTATATTTACTTGCTGAATGACATTTTAAATTGTGCTAATGTAGAACTCCTGCTCATACACAAAAGAGAAGCAACACTGTTGTGATCAACAGTAAAATATATGTTAATTACAAAGCATCTTCCAGCTACAAAAGGAACATTACCTACTTACTGATGGTGTTGTTTGATCCCAGAGAAGTCCTGACCTGCACAACGTGTCTCCTGCCAGTCCTGTCGCAGTGACACCGAGTGCCCTTCACCTGCTTTTATACCAGCCCAGGGAGCACAGAGACAATGGGCATCATCTCTGTGACTAAGGCCTTTCCCCTCCTGTCACTGAAATGAGACAGCTCCCTGTTCCCACTGATAATAAATCCTGGATTCTAAAATGTTCAGCTGTGACTAAGGCAAACATCACAACTCCATGGACAGTTTGTTATTCCTTTGCTGTCTCTCCTGTTCTGTGAACTTGATTTTACCACAAGGTTCCTGTGCCCCAAGGTGATGGTGAACCCTGCTGTTCCAGGGTTGATCAGGAAAAGGGTCTCTGGATGCAGAAGAGATCTCCCTCCTTTCCTGTCCTTGTGGACTCGTGTGGGACACCGGATTTGGGTAGGAGGAATCTAAATTATTAATACTGGTGAGTTCGGCAATGCCAGTTTGTCATAAAATCAGCAAAATGGGGCAGTTATTCACAGAAAATCTAACTGAGGGACTGGTAAATCATAGAATCATGGAATTCCAGGATGACTTCAGTTGGAAGGGACCTTAGAGATTATCCAACTCCACTCCCTGCCATGGGCAGGGACACTTTCCACCAGCCCAGGTTGCTCCAAGCCCCATCCAACCTGGCCTTGGACACTTCCAGGGATCCAGGGGCAGCCACAGCTTCTCTGGGCAACCTAAATAAGATCCCACTGGATTTTAATGCTCAGTAGAAACTTCATTTACATCTGTTGATTGCACAGCAAAGAAATTAGTTTGAAATCTTGGAAGCTGAGGAGAAACAGAGAAGACTTATCAAGTGACTAAACAATAAAAGTGCAAGCCGTGGCTCAGGCAAAAAGCCAAATTCTGGTGTGTTTTGAAACCCTATGAGTTGGCACCACGTGAGGTTTGATACTCACTGTATGAGCTTTAACAGGTAATTGGAGCAGAATTTGGGTACTCAGGATGTGGCTGGATCATTAGGCTGAAACTACTTAAGAGGACCAGTTCCTATTTCTCAAAGTGAAAGACAATGAATGTATTTGTCATCTCTGAGGAGCAATTCCCCGGAAAGATTGAAAAGATCATTTGCTTGGTTACCAGAAGCAGTGGATTCCTTTCCCATAGGCACAGTTAAAGCCAGGCTGAGGTGGATGCAGACACATTGTCCTGCAGAGACAGGGCTGGCACAGCCTCCTGTGATCTCACAGCTTCCATGGACACCAAATTGGTTTTTATTATATTTTATTGTATTCCTCACACATCTTTGGAGCCCCACTCTTTCTGAGTGATCCGATAAGTGTTCCCGATTTCATTACCCAATTGTTAAGGAGCGTGTCACCCATTAAAGTGTCACCAATTAAAGGTGACATTTGTTAAATGTTGGTAAATCAGGGCCTGGCTTCACATCTGAGTCTCCAGGGCAGCAGCTGCGCCGTGGTTACACCGAATTACCCACCGTGGGTCCAAGGTTCCTTAGCTACATCTTCAAGGATTAATAAGCCTTGGCCAAAGCCATGTCTGAAGCATCTGGTCCAATTCATCCCTGAACTTTTCGAGTTTCCAGTGTACAATGGGTTTTCATTGGATGCAGTTTTCAGCATCTCTGCTGGAAGAGCATTAATTGAGTTTTGGTACATGGGCACATATCCTAATGGTCACACCACACTGCCATGGCTACACTCTGCCACTGGCCCTTTCCTTCCACCCAAGGACTTGGTACAAGTCAAAATTAACTTGGTCGTGACTTTGTAACATCCCCCCGAGAGCCAGACCTGCACTGGAGTTACCGTGTATCCCTGAGAAGCGCCCAGAGCAAGGAAGAGACACTGGCAGGGATGGATTCCTGGCTTATAATAGTTCTAAAAATGCATAAAATGTGTCAATTGCACATTTATACCCCAGCCACTCACACAGGAGGTAACGTTTTGAGCTATGATTTCTGGCTTAGGGAAGGGACAACTAGAAGGTGCAATTGTGCAATGATTATTTTAATCTAAATTATAACTTCATCGAGCTCTAAATCTGCTCCTGGTGTTGGTACAGCTCTACCTACCCATCCCTTCAACCCCAACACACACAGTGCCAATGTCACAAGGGGAAATTGTGCCAACAGCACAACCAGGTGATATTTTTAGTTGAGATAAATTAACCTCTGCAAGAGCCCTGGACGGTGCAGAACAGAGCAGGAGCCTGTTCTGCCATGGCATTAACTGGGATGAGGAGTTTGGTTACCTCGAGGCTTCCTCAAAGCACTCTTGGAGTCATCAAAAGGTTTGAGCCTTGGCTTCAAAGCCTTTGCTCCCTCCCTCCAGCTTTTCCTGGTCTGACTCCCCACGGGAGGGGCCTTTGCTGTTCCCTCACCTTCTCCAGTGGGAGTTTTGGAGCAAGAAGGGTTGTGCCAATTATAGTTTCCCAGCGAGTGATTCTTTTGTTTTGCTTCCCAGCCCTTTCCCCAGGGAGCCAGGTGGGGGAGGAAGGGAATATGGCTTCGCTGCAGAGCAAAGAAAAAGGGAAGAGAAAGCCTGGAGGCCCCGTTGAGGGGGAAGAAGGAACTGGGGGAGGGAACAGAAAGCAAAGCAAATGTGCAAATAGCCTCGTTAGGGCAAGGGGGATCCTCTGGCCTGGGATTTGAAAACTTAATTAAACAAAGACTGTACTGCATCAAAGGGATCCTCTATCTGCAGGGAGATGGGCAGACAGATCTGAGGAATTTTTTCCATGTGCTGTTCTCTCTTACTCACCAGTAACAGGAGTGTGGGCTCCACAAGAGCTTCCCTGATGTAAAAATCAACTCGGTTTTTTGGGATTGTTTTTTGGGCTGTGGCTTTTTTTTTTTCCCCTTACTGCTCTTACCCATCAGACCAGAATTCCTGTGAGCTGCTGAGTGCTGTGTGTGGAAAACCAGGCACCGCCCTGCCGAGAGGAAACGGTTTGACCACAGTCCTGGTAAATATAGTTCCCCTGAGCTGCTGGTGAAGCAGCAGCTGATGAAGGGCTGCTCTCCCTTCCTGGCCTCCCTCACCCAGAGATGGGAGGAAATGACACCTCGCAGCAAACCCCAAGGCCACAAAGACTTTGGCACCTCCACACTTACACCTCAAGGTGGTTCAGGGGCGTCACCAGCAGCATCTTTGCTTCCATAACCATTTAAAGAGGTGGATTTCAGCTCCTAGGAGCAGGTTCCAGGCTTTTCCATCTTGCTTTGGGTGCTTTTAGCTCCTCTGTGTCACCTCCTTGTTGCTGGAGGACAGTGCTGTGCCAGTAATACCATTTGGGAGGGGGGTAAACTCCAGGAGCAGTTTGAAATCTTGGCCCCTAATCCACTACATACTGCATCATTCCAGAGAGAACTCCCATCTTCCAGGGAATTAAAATTAGAGTTGAATAGCAGTGAGTCAGACTCTCTGTTTTCATTTCCCATTTTCTGATTTCAAGCCAGATTTACAGAAGCTCCTGGGACTGGCAGCTCTATCAGAACACAGTAGCAAGGGTGAGTGTTTTGTCCTTCAAAACCTGCCCTGCAGCCAAGCCTGGGGCTGACTCTCTTTTTCCCTCCCATAACAGTCTCCAGATGGGATATTTTCTGTGTGCAAAACAAATTCAGGTGAAGCTGAGACAAAGCCCCTTGTGCTGCTTCTGTAACACTCCCTGGGCTCTCTGAGTAAATCCCTGGTTCCACAGCCTTGCAGTGCCTGGAGGTCCCCTGAGAACCTCAGAAACAAAACACAAGGAGATGTGTCTCCCTATTCCATGGGGCCTGTCCCCCTGAAAAGGAGCTCTGTGGGATCTGCCCCTGCAAGAGAATGTCACCCTCTGCTGCCCACACCTTGGAGGTGGGACCCCAACAGTGGCAGAAGGCTCACACCTGGAAAGATGGGGATGAAGGACGAGCAACTAAAGGTCTACAAATAACATGTCATTCAAATAAACGAACTTCTCGCTAATTAATCCCCAGGTGCTGAGTCTTGGGAATGTGCTGTGCCCCTGCACTGGGAGCTGAGTCTCTTAGTTTAGGTCTATGATGTAAAAATCACAGTTTGTTGTTTCACTCTCCCTTTAGATGAGGCCTGAGGTGCAGCTAAAAACTTTCACAGTGTAAAAATAGATATGTTTCAAAAGTGAGGGAATAAGGAATATGTTTAAAAGTAAGGGAAGAGGGACCTTATGCTGTAAACACAAGAATTGGTGGGAATAAGCTCACTCAAGCTGGTTGTAATATATCTAAATATCTATCTATGTAATATATCTAAAGATCAGGCAAGTGTAAGTTGTTGTTTCAGTAGAAAATGCCCTTCACCAAGATTGGGCAGGATGTGAAAATAGGTTGAATCCACAGGAACCTCACGAGCAGCCTGTGAGCAGTTAGTTGGTTTGTGACTGAAGACGTGTCCCCTCCACCAGTTCCTGTTGTGTTCGTGCAATGACAGTTCCCAGCAAGAGCCCTTTCTGCAGGCAGAATCATGCCAGTAAATAACTATTTTTGTTAATGTCTAGTTTCACTTGAGGACCAGCTCTAAATGATCCTGAAAGAAATATTCTCCAGCAAATACTGTCTGTCTCCTGAAGCATCCAGGGCTCACAGAGTGTTTGGATAATGCCCTCAGGCACATGGGATTGTTGGGGTGTCCTGTGCAAGGCCAGGAGTTGGACTCGATGATCCTTGCGTGTCCCTTCCATCTCAGGATATTTGTGATCCCTTAAATTTGGCTCACACAGCTGAGGTTTCTTCCAAATCATGTCTAGAATATGTTCATTTTCTTCTGTGGGGTTGAAATCTCAGGAACCATGAGAGCAGCTTGACTGGAACACCTTAGTCCAGGTCAGTGTGGTCACAGATCCTGGTCTGGAGGTTTATAAAACAGATGACTGTGCTCCACTGCACTGTGCAGCTATAAAATACCTTGTCAATCTAGTCTTGACCCAGCTGTTCACAGCGGGTCTGGTTTTGTTTGTGAGGTCAATGTTCTCTCCTTCCTTTCACACAAGATGTGATGAATGTAAAAGTTCTGTACCTCTCATAAATATCAGACGTGAGTGGCATTTTCTTACTGTGAAAGCCAGAGAGTTCCATCCAGTAGGATTTTTCAGACCCTTACAGACTTGGAATAAGGAAGAAAGTAACATAACACAATTCAGCTTCCATGTATGTGCAACACACACATATGGTGCTCTCAGAGCTGGCTCAGGGACTGTCTTTGGGAGAGGACAAGCAAAATGCTGATTTTGGAATGACAGAAGTGCTGTGTGCCTGTGCTGGGACATCCCAACCCCGACTGTGGGAATTAGGCTGAATATTCCAATAGGCCTTTTGTCCCAGTGATGGGCCACATTTAGTTTCTTTATAATGCCAAAAGCAAACTGAAAAGAGATTATGTTTATATGACATGACTTTTACGGGCTGTGGTTTATGAAACATGGTGATGGGCTTAATCCCAAGTAAGAAGCACCTTGAATAGAGCAGGTAGCATGTCCTAGGTGAGTGCTGAATGCTGTGTTTGCTTTGCAGGAGGTGAACTTACTTCTGAATAAATCCTTTGTTCCCAAATCTGTCGTCTGGAATTATTTTCATGTATCGTGTGTAACTTCAGTATGAAGATAAAAGTTCTGTTAGGATTACAAGCTTGTCCACGTTGCTCTCTAACTAATATTTGGTTTGGTTTGTTTGGGTTTTTTTTAAATATTCATTATTGCAAATCTTAAATCATATTTGAAATGTACATTATGTGATATGAGCAGGGTCTAGGAGTGTTGCAAACCCCTTGGAGAAGGGAGGCGAGTCCTGGAAATCACTGTCTCCAAGAAGTCACAAAGTGAAATGGTTGAACAGCCCCAAGCTTCAAATTATTTCCTTTGTTTGTGTTGCCTCAGGAAATTAACCATCAGCTAATTAAGATTACAATGGATTAGATTTCCTTAATTAAAGGCAGGTAACTGTGAGATAACTGCACACATGATAAAGATACTTTAGGGCATCCGTTACCTCAAAATCATTGTTGTGTTTCTGTCCCCTGGCCAGTTTTGACCCTTGGAGGATTTTACTGAGAAAAAGCTCTTAAAAATAATAGGGGATGCTGTAAAAGATTTTGGAAAATTCTAAGGAATTATCTCAGCTAGTTGTTTTTAATGCCAGCTGGGTTTTATTTACATGCTGTAGAATTCCAGTAGACTGAGGACGTCCCATCCTCTGCACAGCTCCTGCTTGGAAAACACAGTCCACATGCATTAATTTATATTCAGAATGCCTTATCTCGTATAATATGATTTAAACTGTTATTAATTCTACTTGTACAGAGAAATTTGTCTTCCCTGGCCCAGGTCAAAGACATAAAGTCTGATTAAACACAGCTTGGCTGCGAAGGGAGGTTTTGGGAGGTTATTGCAGCAACAGCCCCGGATGGGGATTCTTATATTACCTGATAATCCAAAATAAGAGGTTGTTATCTAGGGAAACCCCTTTGAAGCAAATTATGTGTTTAATTCATGTTAAAACTCATGTTGTATAAATGTCATGTATGAAGGAGAGTTTAGTAAAGCACATCAACAGCACTGTGCATCTGTAAGTAAAATTCCTCAGTTCTAATACTGTTTTCTCAAGTGCTAAAAAAATCAATTCCCTCTTTTGGGCCTCATAAACCCATATAAAATCTACCAAAACTTGTGAGTTTACAGCAGTTTGTTCGTATGAAGTGTTCGTCCGTGTAAACCCCAGTGCTGAGGGGATGATGCTCAAAAACCACGGCCCGTAGGGACCCGACCGGGCCAGAGACACAAGGAAATAAAACTTTATTTTTCATTTTGGCCATTAAAAACCAACATTTTCGAGGGTGTTGCCGCTCTCTGCTCTCAGGGCCCGGGCGGGGCCCGCGGAGCCGCCTCAGCGCTCCCGCCATTGGCGCGGAGGCACCGCCCACCCGCGCACGCCGAGTGACGCCACCTGTCAATCAGCTCAACGACGCTCTCTGATTCGCTGTCGCTCCGCGTCACGTGGGAGAGGGCTGGCCGTATATAAGGCGGGCGGGGTAAGCGCCAGCCGCCATTTTGTCCAGTGAGGAAAAGCGGAGCTGGGGTCTCGCTGAGGGGTCGAGTCGGCTGAGTTTAGCGCGGGCTCCCTTCGCGCGCCCTCCCTCTGAGCACCGGTGAGGACCTTCACCCCAGAGGGCTTGTGGGGGGAGGCGGCGGCACCCGCGGTCTCGGGCCCCGGCAGGGCGGATAGAGGCGGCATCGGTGGCAAACAAAGAGCGGCCGCCATTTTGTGAGGCCGGGCCGCGGGCGGCGGCCGCCGCAACGCTGAGGGGAGGCGGCGGGGAGGCCGCGGGTCGCCTGGACGAGCCCGTGCTCAGCCTGCTCTCGGTGGTGTGCGAGGCGGAGCAGGAGGTGCCGCGGGGGCGGAGTGGCGCCGTCCCGCCCGCCCGCCAGCGCTGGTCCCTCACGACGCACCGAGGAGCCGCTCCGTAGGGATTCCCCGGGCGCTGCCGGCGGGGCTCGGCTGGGGATGGCGCTGCCCCCCCCGGCCACCCCCGCATGTGCGGATCCCCCTGATCCCGATCCTAATCCCGATCCGGGAACAATGGAGCCTCCCCCGCGCTGCGCCCCCTGCGGGCCCCCCCGCGCTAAGCAGGGAAAGGGCGTAGGGACACCCCCCCTCCCCCTTGAAAGCTGCAAACCTTAAAAGTAGCCGAAATTCCCCCAAATAGTGAATTTTAATCACAGTGCGACATAACAACTCGGATTTTTTTGTTTGATTTTAACCCCCCCCTGCCCGCCCGTTGCACACAGATTAATATTTCCATCGCGTCAGGTCGTATCTCCGCTGAAGTTTCAGGTGGAAGGAGCCAACAGAACGACTTCCTTGGAAGCGAACAAGTGCACGCTCTGTGTTTAAATAGGCGTGAACTTCTTTTTTCTTGTCCTAGCAATGCATCGCGACTCTTGTCCGCTGGACTGCAAGGTTTATGTGGGTAACCTTGGAAACAATGGCAACAAAACGGAATTAGAGCGGGCCTTTGGCTACTATGGACCACTGCGCAGTGTGTGGGTGGCGAGAAATCCTCCCGGTTTTGCCTTTGTGGAATTCGAAGATCCACGAGATGCAGCTGATGCAGTAAGAGAACTAGATGGAAGGTAAAATGTGCTGCTTTTATGTTTGGCTTGGCTTGTGAAAAAGAAATTTTGGGTAGTTCTGCTGTGTAAATTGGAAAGTTTCAACTGCAGGGCCAAAGACTTAAGGTAGTTGTTATGAAGTGTTTGTGTGGTCCAAGGGTTTTCTTAATAGTGCAGTACAATCCCAGAATGGTCTCATCTGGAAGGAACCTTAAAGCTCATCCAGTCCCACCCCCTTTCATGGGCAGGGACACCTTCCAATATCCCTGGTTGCTCCAAGCCCTGTCCAGCGTGGCCTGGGACACTTCCAGGGATGGAGCAGCCACAGCTTCTCTAGGCAATCTGTGCCAGGGCCTCACCACCCTCACAGGAAAAGATTTCTTCCCAATATCCAATCAGAATCATCCTGATGCTATTCAGGAAGAAGGGCATGTTAATTTTGCACTTCAGAATTGGACTCTCAAGTTAGAAATGACTTGGATGTCTGTGTATGTGCTAAATTAAAGATGGTGTAACTATAAAGAGGTCCCGACCTTTCCCAAATCTTCATTTGCGAAGCCCAGCCATGGAAAATGGTAACTATAAAGAGGTAAAACTGATTAGAGAAACTCGCCTTGGTTTCTTCTCTGCTTCCTTTACTGGCACAGTAGCTTTCAGAAGCAGCCAAACCTTTTGTCTGCCCTAGAATCCCAGGTTGGTGTGGGGAGGAAGGGACCTTAGAACACATCTCGTTCCACCCCTTGCCGTGGGCAGGGACACCTTACACTAGGCCAGGTTGCTCAGAGCTCGGTTCAGCCTGGCCTTGAACTCTTCCAGGGGTGGTGCAGCCACTGTCACGCACAAGTTGTTCTGAACACTTTAGTTTTGCCTGTAGACAGAATGTTTTTACTTTGTCTGCTCCTTTTCCCTCTCTAGACTTGACAGCTTTTATTCCACGCTGTTTCTCCCTGGAAATACTAACCAGTGCCCGTGTCTCTCCCCAGAACGCTGTGTGGGTGCCGGGTCAGAGTGGAGCTCTCCAATGGGGAGAAGCGGAGTCGGAACCGCGGCCCCCCTCCCTCGTGGGGCCGGCGTCCCCGGGATGACTATCGCAGGAGGAGTCCTCCCCCTCGGCGCAGGTACCTGGGGGCACAGCACACCTAGAGCTCTTGGCACTGTTACCACTGTAGCATCCTAGAAGCAGGCTTGTTAAAGGCATGTTGATGGATAACATTCATCTATCTGATCATGATTTGGAGATGACAAATGCTGAAAAAAAAAAAAAAAAATCCCCAAATCAACCCCTCCACAAAATCGAGGTGAACTTTAAGTTGTGTTGAATGTTGGCTTTTGTCCTTAGGTGACTGTGCAGTTGGTAGTCAGTGCCCTCTGTCCTGGGCTTATCCTCATTCCTCCTAAAATCTGCTCGTCTTCTAGTCACACTTTCCCTTTCTTCCCCATACTTCAACTTAGGCTGTTCCATTCCTTTATTCCATAATGGCAGAACATGACATACAGCAGTTTAGCATTTCCATACCGATGGGTTTCTCCGCTTTGTTTGCAGAATTTAAATACTTCCCAAGCAGGCAGCTGTTTAATAATGGATCAAATAACAGTTGCTTTAAACATCTGGAATCTTTACACTTTAGTGTGATAATCCTGTCAGTTGAGGTTTGCAAACACACCTCTAATATATAGCAGGACTTTTGGGAACTGGCACGTTCTTGGACCCAGACTAGTTAGTCTGGCTGTTCAGACGTGCAGCGTGGTTTTTACAGGACTGAATTTACCTGTGGCAGGTGAGTGAAGTCCTCCCGAGTCAGGGTTTTCAAGCTTACCCTTTTGCTGTTGAAAAGAGAAAAAAAAAAAAAAATAACACATTAGGAGTATTGTTAGCTAATAGATGGTTGTACTGATGGCTTGTTTTTCATTTTTTTTATGCTTTTTGGTCCATCTATTAATAAAAATGAACCCGTTACAGAGTCACCATCATGTCTCTTCTCACCACCCTCTGAGTCTGCATTAGCCAGCCAACTAGCCCTTTCAGCGTCATGTGACCAGCGCGCCCCATGCAGCTTGGCTGGTGTCGTTTCACATGACCCAGGCATGGCCAGTCGTCAGGTTGCACCGCCCTTTGGTTCCCGAGCATGCTGTTTTCTCTCAGCCTTCTCTCCAACCTTAACCAAATCGGCAGCAGCCACCTCGACCGCCCACACATTCCCGGCCAATCAGCTCAGCTGTTTATTTACCAAATGTCTTCACAACAACTACAGCAGCAGCCTTCGGCTAACAAAAAAGCAGGAAAAATCCACAACACCCCCTTCGCCAACCAACTAAATACAACGCAACATCTGGCAAAACCTTTTCAGCAAATTCTTCTTGGCAGTCAGTCCGGCAGCCTCACCTCACCATTTCTAGCTTGTTGAAACCAAAGACTTGTAAGTTTTTCCTGCTTATACAGTTTACTGCTGGTTAAAATAAGGAGTAAGCGGCTTATAAGTAATTACTTTTCTCAATCAAAGGCTGGCTGTGCATAATTGAGTGGTAACGTACATATGTTGCTTGAGAAAACTTTTAAGGGTGATATGGAAGCTCTTACACTGTGAATAACGTAAAAACCAGGATATTTGCATGTGAGATGCCAAACTAAATTTTTAATAAAGCTCTAACAAATGTAGCTTTTCCTTGCCAGAAAAATCCTATCACCTTTAAATGGTTTTACTAACAGTTTTCAAAACTTAAAACAATTACTTTTTGGGATGAACTGGGCCGAGCTAAGGTTATATTTTTAATTTTTTAATTTTTTTATAAGAAAATAGTCTAAACACACTCGATGGCATTAAAAATGACAATCACAAATATGCAGTTCTAATGTAGCACTTAATGGCATTATCAAATTGACACTGAGCGCATTTTCACTTTTTTTTTTCCACTTGATATCTCTTATGCCTTGTTATGGACCTTTTTGGCTTGCATGGGTTCCAAAACATTTGCTCTGTGCTATTTTTTTTTTTTTTTTTTTTTTTTTAACCACTTTTGGGACTTTGGTGTGGTGTTCTGGGCAGTGTATTTAGTTGAAATGGAAAGTGTTGCATTGGACAACTCTGCTCTGACGCATTCTTAGTTAAAGTGAATTCGTGGTTGGAAACGTGCTGTTCACACTGAGCTTGGTTTTACTGCCTAATCTTTCCATGCCTTTTACTGGATGATGGATGCCAGTTATTCTTGGCACGTTCCCTGGGCCCAACAGTGAGTTTGACAAGTTGGGAAATGCCTCACCCCGTTAATGCTCAAGGAATGGATAAAGTGCCTCACATCTGGTTTTCTGGTTTTAGATCACCACGAAGGAGAAGCTTCTCCCGGAGCCGCAGCAGGTACGAATCCCTTCCTTACCCCATGGACTGCTCTGGCCTGGAGGTGTGAAAAGGAACAGCCCAAACCAGCCCCGTGTGCTGTGCACATTGGGACTGTAGTTTGGTAAAAAGGAAATAGGTTTGCTTCTGCCATGTCGTTTGCCTGGAATTACTCAGCTGTTTGAGATTCCAGAGTTAGCAGTGGAAGGATATTAAGAATAGAAGTATTTTCCATTCTGCAGCTCCCTGTGGTTTTCTGCCAGTTTTTCACAAAGTTTGTGTTAATGTGCTACTCTTTGCCAGAAGTGTAGAATCATAGAGCCATTTGGGTGG